GTCCCCACCAGGATTTCAGCACTTCCTCTGTTACATTCCCCTTAATCATGCCCTACCAGGTCTCCCACACCCACCTCCCCACCAATTTGGATCGCTTGTTGTTCCCTTGTACCTGGGTTTGTTAACACTACTTCCCTTCCCCCCACCTTCCCCTCTCCCATGTCCCCCCGGAACTGTCAGTCCTGTTGTTTTCGTCTCCAGATTGTTCATCCAGCCTGTCCTATCCAGACAGACCTATAAAATTAATTATTGCAAATTTGTTCTTTTGGTGGCTAAGCAAATTTTATATATTCTCTGGACATCATTAGTCCTCTTAGCTCTTTAAGTACAACTTTAGTGCTTTAGGAATTTTGCCATTGTTGCTAATACTGGTATATTCCATGCATCTACCATCTCACTGGAATTATTTATTCCATGCATATTATTATTTGTTCTAAACCTAACTGATGGAGATGCTTCTGGAAACTTAGGTCCACATTCTACTTGCAGGCTGTTTATTCTGTATTCCTCATTGTCCTTGGTGGCCCAGTCATCATGGCTGCTCACCTGGCAAGTGTCCTGTCTTCATCATCTTCACAGCCCAGCTAACCATACCAGAACCTACTCCTTTCTGTCCTGCAAGTTCCTCCAACAAGTGAGCACTGCAAGGAACTTTAACTCCTGTGGAGACCGCCATCTTCTCCTGCTTCAGGATTTTTTAAAATAAATTTTGCCAGTCATAAAAAACCACTAATAATTTGCATTTGAAAGATTTGGTTTTTTGATAGAGTGAAACTTAAAATGTCTTAACTTAGTGTTACTCATTCCCTAAGAGTTTGTTATTGTCAGTTGCCACCGAGTCGGCTCTGACCCATAGTGACTCTTGGCACAACAGAACGAAACACTGCGTGGTCCTGAGAGTCCCCAGGAGTCTGCAGACACATTTAGAGGTGTTTAGGAAGCATTGCTTGCATAGAGTAGGAAGAGGCCAGTGTGTGATTTCCACCCCACTTGGGAAACTCAGGAAGCTCAGTGTCTTCTGCTTTTGTTCAGCCTATATTGGGAACGTATTAAGCTTTTCATAAGGACTCTTTCATTGCTGCAACTAGGAACTGCAGTGGGGCTGTGGGTTAGGTGTTGGCCTGCTAACCACAAGGATGACTGTTCAAAACCACTAGATGAGAAATCTCAGAAAGATTTAAATCTCAGAAATCCTACATAGGGTCACTATGAGTCAGAACGGACTCTTTGTCAGTGCCTGTCTGTCCTAGTAGAATGTGTTGATGCTGAGTGTTTTTCCAGAATGATACACAGAAGACCCTCTCAAGCAAACAAAAATTCCCTAAATAAGGAATTTTTGTTTGATAAAACACTTACTGAAAAGTTCTACACATATATAGAAAAGTGAATAGCCAACCTAGATTCATTTCTCATTTGTTAACTTTTTACTTTATTCACAGGATTAGACAGACTGATATGCCTTATCACTGGAGCTGCAAGCATCAGAGATGTCATTGCCTTCCCAAAATCATTCCGGGGACATGACCTCATGAGCAATGCCCCAGACCATATCCCCGCTGAAGACTTAAAGTCCTACCATATCCAGGTCTCCAGGCCAACAGACTCGGCGGCGGCAAAAAAGGACTCATTGAATCATTCACCCCAGCCAGAATGCTAAGCTTTGGGGTTTTGTCTTCTTCGGTTCCCCAGTGCTAAAATAGGACCTGGAGCTCTGCCATCTTTAGATGGAAGGAATCCAGGCAGCATTCTTCACCACAGTGAAGAAACAGAAGATGCCCAGCGTTGACTTGATAACATACATCATTAGGCATTTGTTTTGTTGGGTTGGGTTTTTTTTTTGTTTTGTTTTATACTTTTTTGTTTCTTTTTACTAGAAGTATGAGAGGTGGTCTTTGTTGGAGTAATATAATGGATGTGTTTTCTAATCATGCCTTTCATAGCCAAGTATTTGTTCACTTAGAATGCAGGTAATCAAATCATGTAGGAAAATACCTCAACTGTCATCCAAAAGAGTCACAAAATAGTATACCGTATTTGACCTTGAGCAAGTTAATGTACATAAGTTACAATACTTGCCCTGAATACCTTATAGGCTTATTGCTAGCTGAATCAGGAGATAGTGTATGTGGGTGATAACATGAATGAAAATGCTTTGAAAACTATAAGCATTACACAAATATAAATAATATATTTTAGTAAGCAGTTAAGTCCATGTTTTTTAAGATTGACTGATATATATGTATGTAATAAAAGAAGAAATTAGTAAAGTTATGAATCAGTAATTGTATTTCTTTTTTTAACTTTTTAATTATGAATTAAGTGATGGTATCTTTCCATTTTTAAAGACAACCATTAACCCTTGATAATTGAAAATACTGACCCTCATTCAATCTCACAAACTTAAAAATGAACCTTTCATTATGATTTGCTAGTTGGTTCTAGTAATACACATAAAATCTTCTAATTAAAAATTAGAAGAAGATGGGAACAAGTTTTGATTAATGAATTTACCGTTTTCTACTTTTGCCTTGGCATTCCTTTTATTTGTAATTTATAGACATCCAGGATTGGTTTTATATTGTTGCCTGTTTTTCTTAGTGAACTAAACAAAGCAATAGTTAAGGCCTTTTGTGTTTGAAAATAACTTCTTACCTGCCCCCTTCCAGGAAGTCGATTCCAACTCTGAGTGACCCGGTGTAGGGTTTCCAAGCCTTCATAAATCTTAACGGGAGCCAAGTGGTCTCATAGTTCTCCAAGCAATGCCTCTTGAGGTTTGGGCTGGCCTGGCAATTAGCAGTCCAACACTTACCTAACAGGTGCCACCAGGACTCCTGTGTCAGCTTCACAGCCAGGTGGGATCCATTCTTAAGTCTGTGATGATTATGAATGGCCTTCTCTCCAGCAGAATGGGGTTTGCCATTGGGTGGAGCTTTCCCCCCAAAGTTTGCCCTGTAGCCTATCTTTCACGGACTAGTGGGTGCTCCCTGGAGCCACCAATTCCTAGTTGCTGTAAGGATCCCCAAGGTGAGAGAAATTAAAGAGCATTTCTAGAGAAAATTTCCTTTTGTAAAACTATTTTTCAGTTCTAACTACCCCACCTTTATAATACCTAATTTATAAATGTAATAAAGATCACTACTGTTTACAGCCTAATTTTTACCACAGTGTGGTCCTGTTCTGGCTCCAAGGGTTATAGAACCAAAAGAAAAGCACACCACCATGGCGTGGATTCTCACACAGCAACATAGGAAGGGCAGAACTGCCCTTGCGGGGTGCTGAGACTAAGCCTTTGCAGGAATGGGAAGCCTTGTCTTTCTCCTGTGAGTGGCTGACTGGTGGTTTCAAACTACTGACCTTGTGGTTAGAAGCCCAATGTATAGTCACTATACCACCATGGCTCCAAGGATTGCAGACAGCACCAAACCCAAAAAATGTTTTCTAGGATACAAATACCTAAGTGTAGATCCCAAGAGTTGAACAATCCTGCGTTGGCACCTAAGGTACTTATTTTGGGCATAATCTGGCTTCTTGTCTGGTAAATGAGCTTGGGGTGAGGGGGGACTTATTCTGAAATACAGGAATTCTCAGTATTCTAGACCATTTGGGAGTACTTTTTTTTTTCAAAAAGCAAGAAATACAATTGAAGACAGAGAACTCCAGTCATTCCACCCTTGTAGGAAATTTGAATTTATTTTATGTTGCAAGTTCTCAAAAACCGCAAGTCATTTTAGCCAATACCACAGCTTTGTCCTATGAACAATTTCACCTTGTCTGTCAGGATATGTCAAATGAATAGTCTGATGGAATTTTTTTATGCTCTCAAGTTTTTGATGAATAAAAGTGCATTTACAGTTGTTTACCCCACCCCCCAGAATTACCCTCCCTGAAAAACCAGAACTATCTGTGACACTGGTATCATTTCTTGTTGCTATTTTGTTAAATTTAATTCATCCTGAGTATGAATCCCAAGGAAAGATATTCTGTAAACCTGGTACACAATAAAAATACTAGATGGGATAGATGTGTGTGTGAACTTGCATATGTAAGTCCTACAATAACCACACAGGATACAATAACTGCATATGTAAGTCAGTATGTAAGTCCTACAATAACCACACAGGATACAATAACTGCATATGTAAGTCAGTCTTCTGTATTTAAGGCAGTGGACTAGAGGAAGGAATTTGCTTGAGTAGAACAAAGCACTGCTAAATTGTTCTGAGTTGCAGCCATCCCCGGTGTCGATCCATCTTTTCGGAGGTATTCCTTTTTCACTGCCCTTCTATTTACCAAGCATGGTGTCCTCTAGGAACTGATCTCTCCTTAGAACCTGTCCAAAACACGAGATGAAGTCTCGCCATTTTGTAACTAAGGAGCACCGTGGATGTGCTTCTTGTGAGGCAGATTTGGACATACATGAATCTACATCCCAACTCTGATACAAGTTGTGCCTTGCTGGCCAATTACTTAGCCTCCCTAGAATAGTTCTCAAGTGTTTCAGGCTCAGGACCTCAAAGAACTTTACTATAAAGTGCTTCTACTGTAGTATAGAAGAAATTAAAACTTACAAATTACCCAGTAATAGGGTTGTTAGATTTAGCAAATACAGAGCAACCATTAAAACAATCTCAGCTTAGACAATGTAAACATGTATGTCCCATATATTACATGTGCCCTTATCTAGTGTCTATGTCTTCTATATCATTTCATAACCCTACCTTTCCATAAATGGATATAAAGGAATGCACACTTGGGTAATATATAAATTTATTTATGGGTAAATTTAAACAAACAATGGCAATATTAAGTACAACTGACCCTTGAACAGCATTGAGTTGAACTGCAAGGGTCTACATAGGATTTTTTTTTTTAATGCCTCATGATGATGCTCATTTCAGCTCAGCATGAGCAGTTCCTCTCTCCAGTAATTTTTTTTGAGTGTTGATTCTTTTTTCTTTTAATCATTTTATTAGGGGCTCATACAACTCTTATCACAATCCATACATACATTGTGTAAAGCACATTTGTATATTCATTGCCCTTGTCATTCTCAAAACATTTGCTCTCCACTTAAGCCCCCGGCATCAGGTCCTCATTTTTCCCCCTCCCCCCTCCTTCATGAGCCCTTGATAATTTATAAATTGTTTATTTTGTTCTCCACTAATTTCTTATTGCAGTAAAAGTTCTCAGATCTTGCATACTCTTCATTGTTTTAATAGAATACCATAAACCTTAGATAACACCATGAAAGCCATAAAAAATGGCACTAGTGATGCTGGAAGTGGATCCAAGCAGCAGAGAAAAGTTGTTATCTGTTACAAGGAAAAGTTGTTATCTGTTGTAGCTGCCCATAATGTCAAGTGCATCCAGCATAGAACACTGTTTAAAAAAAAAAAAAAAAAAAGGCTCAAACCATTACAGTGAACCCTCGTTTATCACGGTTAATCAGTTCTAGACCCTACCGTGATAAATGGAATTCCGCGAAGAGGATTCCTTATTTGTAAATCAAATATTTTCGTAGTTAGAGCATAGAGGACATGAAAAAACACCCTTTAGTCACCATTACACTCGTATTACCCAATTTATTAAACGAAAAAGGGAAAATACAGTAAGACATTTTGGACGTTACAATTATCATTTATTATATTTATGGCATCAAGCGTGTACAGTATGAGCCAATCAGTGGCAGTCAAGCGTGTACAGTATGAGCCAATCAGTGGTAGTAATGACAGAGCATGCGCTGTTACGCAAAAACCGTGATAGAGTGAAGCCGCGTTAGTCGAAGCGCGAAGTGGCGAGGGTTCACTGTATAGCTGACTCCTGAGTCTGGAAGGTTCTCAACAGACCCCAGGTAGTGAGGTCCCCATATGCTCCAGGTCTGGATCTTTTCAAACCTGGTGGGATGGCAAAACCAGCCTTCTTGTTATGGGTGTGGTCCCAGCCCCCCATTGGTTTCCTGCACTTACTTTTGTTAGTAAGGTGTGCAGTCCCCACAGTGGGCCAGTGTTGCCCTAACATTGTGTGGGACTTGGGAGCACGCATGGCTAACCCTGCAAACCCACCCTGCTGTTGATGCTGGCTCAAAGCAACCTTACTGAGCCCGGTTGAACTGTCTCATATGGGCTCCAAATTTCTTTTAAGGGACAATTATTGTGCTTCAGATATTTCTATTTCAAGTTTATTTACAAGAAACTTTAAAAAACCAAGCCTAGTGGGAGACGAGACCAGAGGCCAAATGCCGTATCTGACAAGATGTAGCTGAGCAGTGTAAGACCAATGAAGGCCAAGTCATAGAACTAGCTAGAGCATGGACCAGACTATATGCCGTGAATGTTGAAGTTGATCTGAACTAGTGTGCATCACTTCTCCTGTTCTACCAAGACTTTTTTTGTTTGCATTTAATGGACAGTTTTAGAACCATTACTGAATAAAAGCCCAGACAGCTTCAGTCTTTTGATTAAATGCACATTCGCAAATCTGTGTTGTCCTGATTCACCGTTGTAAGCAGAGGCTAGAAGTATCATCTGGATTGTTAAATGTGTAAAAGCAGTGGCCCCTCTGCTTTTATTCATTTCTTCCCCCATCATGGTCTAAGTATAAAGCACTGTGAATGCAGGTAGTTGTCAGGGTTAGCTGCAGTGTGTGGATGTCTTTTATATTTTGGGGTGGGAGAGATCGTTTTAAATTTATGGGCTCCTTCCCCTCCCCTTTTCAGTGATCTAAGGCTAGTCTAACTTTATTTAGACACTGTAGTTGGACAAGCTTGATTGTTTGACCCAAAATGGAAACAAACATCACAGCCCTCACTGATACCATTGTGACTTTTCTGTCAAGTGTAGACTCCTTACTTCAAAAAAAGGCTTGTGACCATTTTGTATGGCTTGTCTGGAAACTTCTGTAAATCTTGTTTTAGTAAAATTTTTTGTTATTCTAAAAAAAAATAAAACCTAGTAATTTTAGTTTTCCACATAATTCAAACTTTCTTTTTTCCCCCCGTGTGGCAGCAACTTTTGAGATGGTTGATAGTTGCAACGTCTCAGTGGTAGATGCATCCCACAATGCCTTCAAAATCCCCCAAGTTCTCCTGAAGTTGTTAGCAAAGCTGTTCTATGGCAACACTCTTCCTAACTCAATTCTTTTTAATTAATTCAAAACTTTTCTAAATAGGAGCATACAATTGAGTTGGCACAATCAACATAAACGCAAGATAAACATCTTCATTTTTTTAAGATGGAAACATCAGGGGGAAAAAAGCTTTGAAGGCAAAAATTTTCATACAGCCACTGATACTTTCTAATTTGTACCATTTGGCCAAATAAATGCCCCTGTGGTACTTACTAAATAGAGGTAAAGGGGGGAGGGGGCTTCTAAAGTTATTAATGCCTTTCACTTTCTCTTCAAATCTTGTTTCCTTACCAACTGAAAATATGATTCCAGCCAAAAACATGATAAACTATGTCACAACATAATGCAAGTTGAATTTGTAACTTCTCAATGAAATCATTGATAGTGTAACAGTGTAAGCTGAATGTGTGCCTTCCTTCCTCTTTTGGAGGTAACACCTCTACAAGTGATCACTTGCTCACAGTATGTCAAGGCAGTGTATCCTTGCTACCAGGCTATCTTATAGGGCGGTTCACAACAGGGCTCTGTAACAAGCAGTGGCGTACAACTTAATTGTGCTGAATGTAATACAAAACTTAAGATTTTCATGTATTACCCATTTGCCTTGTCTTCTTTGCCTCCCTAGTAAACTGGAATATCTGTAGTGTCACTAGTCCATCTGCAGCTGTACCTACACCAATAAAAACATCTATTCTGGACACACAATGTACCATTTTAATGTCACTATTATTTCTAATATCCATTGCAATGGCTACACAGCTCACAAAACTCATTAAAGAGATTAAGGAAGTTAACTAATTGTAATGCCAGTAAGAAATGCTCAGGGTTATCTATCAGGACATTAAAGTTCTGTCATGTCTGCCACTCTGCTGTAAACCTCAACCCAAAGGCATTCAGTTTAAGCATTGTGGGCCAGCAAATCCAACTCCCTGAAAAGTGCCCATAGGCACACCAGCCCTGAGCTTCAGGCCAAAGGCAACTCAGCTCCAACTTCCCCAAGTGCCCAAAGGCCCGTATGCACATGCACACCAGCCTCCTACACAAAAGCCCTCTACTTGCCCCATAGGTTGGTTAAGTCTAGCACTCTTTCTGCAGCTGCTAATGGCATAGCTGTGTTCTGCATCCAAACAGTTCGGGTCCAGTGAACATGCTCCATTCCTGGATCTTGCTGGAATGGAGATCCCTCTTCCTGTTTCTCAGGGCTTATTTCATACACAGCAGGCCGACACTCCAGGGAAGTGTTCACACACAGGTGATTCCTATCACTATCCCCACCTACCCAGACCCTTGCAGGGAGTTATCGGACTGGCTAGAACAGCCACATTAACTCACTCCCCCTGCAGGCAGCATGCATATAAACCAGCCTTTTGGGCTAGATCCAAGTTATGTCATCCATTGGCATGATCAATTACAGGAACTTTTTCCTAAAATACCACCCAAATTCCCAATCCCCTTTGAATTTAGTGAGCTGGACACCTGCAAAACTCAATTCCCAGTGCTTTTGTGACAATCTGATAGCAGGGATAACATCCCTGGCACCTTTCTTTTTAGGGAGGTTTACAAGGTCTAGTTAAAATGTCTGCAAGCTAGGAACCAGTGCTAACCCCTCAGAATTCTATACAACCTAACCACAAGTCATGGTGGAAGCCTACAGACTGCCACCCGATCCCACCTCTGAAAAGGAACCCACTCACTTGCTCACAGGGCTGCCATCTTCCCATTCCTGGGCCCCACCCTTAGCTGTAATCATCACACTGCTGCAGCTTTCTCCCCAGTGTATATTCAAATCCCTTTTGGTCAGCAGCTCCTACAATTGTCAGCTGTATTTCCTAATGAGGACAGACTTAGGTCTGCTCCCAGGACATTAAAACTAAGTGATGCAAGAAAGGCAAACAAAAGATTACAGGGAACAAAACCCTACATAGCCAAGATCTGGACTAGGAGCAGAGTTAAAATGTATGGTCCTTGCCCTGGACAAGTTCTAAGAAATGTATAAATTTAACTTGCTCTTATGGGGCAATTATAATCAGTAGCTAAGCTTACATATCCAGCCAGCTTTGGGTGGGAGGGGTGAGATGGGTGATCTCAAAATAAAAATCTGTACTTGCCAATAGCAGATCTGGTGGCATCACAGGTTGCTGGGCTGCTAACCACAGAACAGTTCAAACCTACCAGCCACTCCATGGGGGAAAAACTAATCTTTCTGCTCCCATGATTTAAAAGAAAAATTAAACACAATTGACTCCAAAAGAATCCTCCAGATTGAAGCCAGAGGTGTTCAGAGCCAAGACTAGATGGCCATGCTAAAATGAACCACAGCCACAAGTAAAAATTTCTGCTGACATCCTATGGCAGGGACCAGCTTTCATCTTGAGATCAGAAGTTTTAACCTTGCCCTTTAGGGCCACTATGAATTGATATTTAGGCAGCTTTAAGAACTACACATTGAAAAGCCCATGTTTATAAGGCCCAACTCTTGTTCTATCCCAGTCTTAACTACTCCTGTACCACATGTACTAATAGTTTGAGCCCATCATGCAGTAATTGTCAGTTCTGTAGCATTTGAAGCCTGGTATCTAGCTTCACCTTTACCATAGCACCCATCTTCATCCCAACCAGAACATAACACACAGTATGTGCAACTGTCAAAAACAATGTCTTGGAAGCAGTACTACAGCCAGAATCCTCAGATGAACAGTGGCTGCCATGGGTTTAGAGAAGTGATGATAGCACCTTACAAATACCGCAATACAAAATGTTGTTTTAGAATTTTAAGTTCAATGACACCTCTCCCCCCTCACTTGTATACCTCAAAGTATTACCTGTGATTTCACCATTGAGCTGCTATCATGGTTCAGACTACCAGCCACTGAAAGGAGGCAGCCATTAGGATAAATATAAAGAGTGATGGCCTTTGAGATGATTTACAGTATTGCTCTTTGCACTGTCATCATCCTTTGCAAATTAAAGAGAACACAGTTCCAGATGTTTTATGAAGATTTATTTGTTACTGTATGTTAAAATCTTATTCCATGGGTATCCATCCAGCTAGCTGCAAAACAGAAGATTCATGGTTTAGTCACACATCCAGATTTTACCTTAAAAGCTGGTTTGGTATACACAGAATATCAGATCCCATTATCATCAAGTTATCAGTGAGAGAGTTCAAGTTGGGGTGGATCATCATGTATTCTGTGCTGGAAGAGAGGTGATATTTTTAAGACTCACCTTTCAGCAGGAACCAGCATGGTTGATTACAAATCCTAGGGGGGTGGAGGCAAAAAAGATATTTTATTTCTGGGACAAAGTTTTAGGGTGCTGACATCATTAGTAAAGTAACCTCAGAATTAAAATGGAACGGTTATTGAGTAATATCATGATGTTTCATTTGGCAGAATCATTACATCATTGGTTACTTTGAGGTACAAATAAGCCATCAACATAAATATTGATATAGAAATTTTAACTAACCTTTAGTTCTCCAAATATGAAGTCTTAGATCCTATCCTAAAATTAAAGCAAATAAGACATTTGAGGAAATAATTATTCAAAGCTCTAAACATTTCTCTAGAAATATGGTTAAAGATTATTTCAGCCAGATACATCAGATAGGAGCGAAAGACTAAGTGTTATTCACCACTGTTATGTCTGCTGAACTATGTTATCATCATTGTATTGGCTGTAGCTCACAATAAGTAAGAAACTACCTTTTTTTTTGAGAACTCATTTCCATCCGCGACAGCAAAAACCTGAGTCTTCACATCTGGAAAAACAGTCAAGTTAGTAACAGTGAGGAGCGTTTCCTTTTCCTTTTTAAGCATTTTAGATACTGTTTCAGTTTCCAATATTAAGTCTTCATTTTCTTTCAGAGAGATTCCCATCATTTATAGTCATCATCAACAGCATTCTTAGAAAACATGTTAATATAGTTGAGCAACATACCTTTTAAAGTACTCCAATGTGCACCTGGGGGGAAAAAGTTCCAAGATAAATAACTGAATCCCCCAAACCAATTCATTTTCCCCATTAAAATGCTATCTCAGGGCTTTTCAGTGTTAAATTTGTCTACATGCTCTCTTCAGGTCAGACATTCGTTAAACATCATTGTAAACCCTGTTCTTAAAGGAAAAGGCTAGCACTCATATTAAAGCTAATCCACAGCTAATTGCTCTTGAGCCTGGACTATACTCACCAATTAAGTGGTTCCAGACATGTCAGACTCAGTCCATCTAAGAAACAGACAATAGTTTTAAGAAAAGGCTCGAGTTTGCTTTTCTCTCCAAAATGTACCAAATGCCTGGCATCAGCTAGAGCTAATTAAGACCTTCATCTTTAGTCCGCATTTGCTTATCATCACACAGGCATGCATTTACCAGCCACTGAACAGTAACAGGGCAACTACCTGACATGTAACTTTAAACTACGAACACGTCCATCAGATTTGATATTCCACACCCCAAACACCATTGGGTGTCAGTTTGCCCAGTTACTCAGATTTACTTCAATCTAACTTTACTTACCACTTTGACTTCCAGTGATTTCCTTCTAGTGTCTACAAAAGACAGAGTAAGAATTCAATTAACATTGGTAGTTTCTTACTCTAGTAACACTGAATAATTTACTGGTAAAAGATACATCAGATAAGTGGTACATCTCTTCATGCAATCTGTTGAACTATGCAAGCCATCACAGTATCTCCTTTACCAACACTGCACGTATAACCTTCCACATGCACCAACTTTGATTTGGGTACACCCCCTCACCCCAATTGAAACAAAAAAATCGAGTGAACATCTCACCTGCTGTGCCCATGGCCGAAATTTCAGCTCTATTTTCAAGACCTGTGAAGAACAAATTCATCTTAACCGAGGTGCTATTTGTACATACCCCCAACACTACTTTCGGTGCCTCAGTTAGAACAATGGTGGTAAGAATTCTCGTCACCCTCATAGTCAAGAGTAGCAAATAAATTTCATCATGGTGGCACACTCACTGGTTTCTACCAAGGAATTTCTTAATACTGGCATTTCCATAACTCACCCCGCAACTGTCCTCATCCTTCTTCTGCAGCTATCTGGAACAAAGCAAAATTGAAGCATAAGATGATGCATCCAGGGCAGCAAAGTGACACATCAATCGTCAAGTATAAAGCCTCAGCATTACTTTTTTTTCTTTCAGAAATCCCTTCAGTCCACTACTCTGAATACCATCACAGGCTTAAAAGCTGAAGGAAGTAAGATTTCTCCCTTTCGAATTTTCTCACCTGGATTCGAGCCTGTATCCGCCACATTGTATTCATGTTTATTCCAGTTCCTGAAGAAAATAAGATTTTCAAATTATACGCAGTTTGTCTCATTCAGAGATTCCACGATAAAGTTTATTTATTAGTAGAGTGCAGTGCACCAAACCAAAGAACTACTGCCCCCAATACTGGTACAATGCAGACAAGAACCATTAAGAGAACCACGTGGGCTCCCCTCCCCCCTAACCATCCGCCTTAACCTAGCGCAAGCGGCGGAGGCCAGATGCCAACTCGGCGGGCCCGCATGCATGCGCCATCAGAGCAGTTGGCATTCATCAAGTCTCAGATGTCCCTACCAACACGAGCTTCATCACAGGCACGCCACGCGGGCAGAAAAGCCTCCCGCCACATACCCGAAAAGCCCACCGTACCTACGTTTGGATCTCACGCGTACGGAACGCGCAATCCCACACCATCCAAGCCTTGCAGAGCCAGCAAGGAAAATGAGCAACTGGCCTGAGTCGCCAAAGACCTGGACTAAACGTTAAGAAAGCACCCAAAGAAGAAGCGCTTACCTAGGAGACGAGAAACCGAAGACCGGAAAGAACGAGATGGCGCCCAAATGCCTGTATATATATGAGCTTTCCCTGACGTCACGACGCACGCTCCTCTCCAGCGTCAAAGCCAACTCCTCCCCGTCTCCTCCCCCAGCCCCTCCTTCTTCCCCGCCCCTAGGCCCTTGGCCCCGCCCCACTCCCCTTTGTGGGCGTGAACCACAAGTGCCCGCTGGACCCGGGACTCCCGCCCTCCTTCCGAGTAGTGAGGAAGAAAGGGGAGGGGGCGCGAGGGACGGAAAGCGCGGGGGGAGGGGGAAGGGGGCGGTGTAAGGGTGAGTGATTTCCTTCCGGCACGTCGCCCGCTCCGGGGGAGGAGGTGGGGGGTTTCACTTCCGGGACGGTGTTTCGGCCCATTCCGGCCCATTTCCACTCCCGGAGGTAGGTGCTGCTCCTCGCCTGGGAGGAGGCCCCGCACACCGGTCCCGCTGCCCTGCACGGGGACCAGTTTACCCCGTTGAGGCGGTAGCTCGTTCCTGGGGCACCCAGCCACTTCCTTTTGCCCACCCTGGCCACCGGGCGACCTTCCACCTCCTTGGCCCCGGGCCGGCCGGAGCTGCGGGACCCGCCCCCTCGCGGGGCCCCTCCCTCAGGACCTGGGGATGGGCGGCCCTCCCCCCTCCGCCGCCCGGACACACCCAGATGCACACACCCACCTCTGGGCCAGCTCCCCGCCCGCCTACGCCCGCCGCCTCTACCGGGTCCCGGGGCGCCGCCCCCTGTGGGTCTTTCACCCTCACCTGTGCGCTTGCTCCCTGGCCTGGCACCCCTCTCTTACGTTCCTCGGTGACATGTTGCCCTTTGCCCCACGCTTCTTCACGCCGACGAAAGTTCCCCGATTCTGCCTCTTACGGCTCTCACCCATCCAGTGCCCGTGGCACAGACAGATTTGACTCCCGGGGCTTCCTCCTCTGGGGAGTTGCCGGAGAGAGCAAACAAAAGCCCTGGTGTAGGCTTCAAAATAAACACATTTGGATTCATGATGGCATCGACAAAGGCTCTTATTGGATTAAAAGTTTCAAAACAAACAAAAACGCTTTGGAAAAAGGTCAGATTGGTAAAGTTGGTTCTTGAAAGCAGAGTATACACTTCCCTGTTACTGTTAGTGTTGTAAATACGGGGGCAGTAGGTGAGCTCAGTCAGGATGAGTTCTTGAAGTTCCAGTCTTAGATAACTCTGTAATTTGGACGCTACTAGCGCCCTACTCGGTCACTGTCTTCCATTCAGGACTGACAGAAACTGTACACTCAAGTATTGAAGTCTTCGATGTTGTTGCAGGCTTACTTTTGCTTTTTTTTTAACCTTTTAAAAAATGCTTTGACCACCCTTGGTAAATGTTTTTAAATTATTAACAGCTCTGATGACCTCAATAACGGAAGGTGGTACCACCACCTTGAAATTTCCAACTTTGAATTTGGATAAAGACAAGTTTACCTTACCTTCATCCTGAAGAAAAGTGAATTTCAAGTTCTCTGCATAATTTTTTGATTCCTGACATAGCAATGGCATTTTGCCACAGAGGCCGAAACCTTTTATGGATGGTATCTGAATCATGCTAGTAAGCATTAGTGTACAGTCACTGGTGTGACGTTACTTTATACACCAAGCATGTTATAAAAAGAGAGATGTTTTAATCAGACCACTAGTGTAGATTTGCATTTATTCACTAACTTATTTCTTTCCTTCACATAAAATATGTTGTGTGATTTTACATTCAGTTTGCAAATAACTTATGATGAGCACTTTTTAAAAAGTCTTAAGTGCTTCCCTCACTATTTTGTGGAATTTCCATCCATTTTGATGTTGAATGGTGTTAATAACTAACGTATGGTCAAAATCTAGAACTTGAGTCTTACCAGACCACTTTTGTATGTTGGTTTCCCTTAACCAGAAACCTAGCCTTAAAAAAACCTACTGGCACCTCTGTTTCCATGTCTAAACGGAAGGGAAACATCTAGAGTTTGAAATTTTCCCCAGATAATGTTTTTAGATTGCAAAGTCAGACTTGTAAAGCACCAGGGGAGAAGATCCTAGTACTAACGGAAACGTGTTTGTCTCTCAGCAGGGTTGAATGCCTGCCTGCGCCCTCAGGCATGACCATGGAGAAAGGTGGGAACATACAACTGGAAATCCCCGATTTCAGCAATTCTGTCCTTAGCCATCTAAACCAGCTCCGCATGCAAGGCCGGCTCTGTGACATTGTGGTTAACGTGCAAGGACAAGCTTTTCGAGCTCACAAAGTGGTACTGGCTGCGAGTTCCCCCTATTTCCGGGACCACATGTCCTTGAATGAGATGAGCACTGTCTCCATTTCTGTTATCAAGAACCCTACTGTGTTTGAACAGCTCCTTTCCTTCTGTTACACTGGACGAATCTGCCTACAGTTGGCAGATATCATCAGCTACCTGACAGCTGCCAGTTTTCTGCAGATGCAGCATATCATAGACAAATGCACGCAGATCCTGGAGGGTATTCATTTCAAAATTAACGTGGCTGAGGTTAAAGCCGAATTAAGTCAAACAAGGACAAAGCTTCAAGAGAGACCACCAGAGTCTCACAGGGTTACACCAAATCTAAACCGCCCCCTTAGCCCACGACACAATACTCCAAAGGGCAACCTGCGGGGTCAGATTAGTGCCGTGCTGGATATCAGGGAACTAAGTCCCCCTGAGGAGTCCACCAGTCCTCAGATAATTGAACAGAGTTCTGACGTAGAGAGCCGGGAGCCCATTCTCCGGATCAACCGCGCAGGACAGTGGTACGTGGAGACAGGAATTGCAGACCGGGGGACTCGGAGTGATGATGAAGTTAGGGTTCTTGGAGCGGTGCATATCAAAACTGAAAATCTGGAGGAGTGGCTTGGGCCTGAGAATCAGCCTTCTGGAGAAGATGGGAGTAGTGCAGAGGAGGTCACAGCCATGGTGATTGACACCACAGGCCATGGCTCTGTAGGACAGGAAAATTACACGTTAGGGTCTTCGGGAGCCAAGGTGGCTCGGCCAACAAGCAGTGAAATTGACAGGTAAGTTTTGTGTTTGCTTTTGGTTTTGCCTACTCAGTGTGTACACATCACTGAAGTGGGGTACCTGATGTTCTTTGCCAATTAAGTTACTACTGGCGAAACTGAAGGTGTGCCAAAGACTTGCCATTCTGATTTTTTTAAAGCAGGAAGCTCCTAGGCCCGACGTGTTCACACTGCCGTGAGTACTATGGTACAATTAGACACTCCATGAATCAGAATAGCATCTGCAACCACTCTAAGGTCAGTAACTGCCAGGGCTTCCTGGGAATTCCAGGCAGAGACCTGATCATAAGGGCAGCATTGCCCCTCCTTGGTATGTTATCACAGAGGTATGTAGCCGTGGGCACTTTTCATTTGCCTTTATAGCCTTTATATTCTTTGCCCCTGCTTACCAAATGGGAAAATATGATACCTGCAGTCATTGTTCCTTTCAAGCTAGGATAAACGCTGTCATTTATAAAAGAAAACTTGGCTGTTTTTCTTCCTCTTATCTCTTGATTTTATCTTCCCTGTTTTGTTTTTTTTATCAATAACTGCTGCCACCACAGGCTTGAATGCCACTTTTTTTTTCACTAGTACTGTGCCAGTAGGTCTTTAAGGAGCTGTGGTGGTGGTATTGGGTAAGCTTTGGGCTACCAACTGTGAGGTCAGTGGTTCAAATCCACCAGCTGCTCCAAGGATGAAGCTGTCTGCTCCCAGAAAGATTTCCACCTCAGGAGCCCTAGAGTGTGGTGACCAGACGTCCTGCTTTTGGCGGGACAGTCCCGATTTTTACCAATTTTTCCCGCATCCTGCGGCGTTTTAAAAAAGTCCCAATTTTTGGAAAGAATGCACGACAAGCTAGGGTATACGGTTTTCGGCTGCCGTGTGGCTGTTTCGCCAGTATATGAGTTTTATCAATGGTGTCCCGCTTTACCAATGTCAAAATCTGGTCACCTTACTTAGAGACCAGTTGTGTTCTGCCGTGTGGAGTCACTGAGTCAGTCGACTTGAGGGCACTGGCCTTGTGTTAACTGTGCCTTTCTGCTGGCTTCACTTTCCGCTTTAGCAAATGCTGCAGGTTTTAGAACATTGCTTTTTGGTGGGAATACCACTAGCTTCGATCTAGCTCAGGTGAAAGGGAAAAGTAATTGCCCCTTTAATAGGTAGCATTTCTTCTTTTCCTCTTAAAAATAAGCTAAATTTGACCTCATGAGCATCAAAGCTGTTCTGTTTTGTAGCTCACCCTGGGAGGCACACAGATCACACAGGAGTGAAGATAGTATGGATCTTCCCCACTTCAGGGTGCCTTGAGAGGTGTTTTTTCCTTCTTGCCATCTTTATTGTTAAAATATTCCCAAGCACAACATTTATTGTTCTCCTAGGTTAAGATTGAATTAGAAGTAATACCAATTTAAATCTGAAGATTTTCAATATTTTTTATCCATATCAACAATATGAACTATATAATTATCATGGGAGATGAGGAAGAAAGCAACCAAAAACATAATAATAACCAAGCCCACTTCCCTTGAATCGATTCTGACTCCTCGTGACTATATGGGGTTTCTTCATGTTTCTCCTGAGATCTTTGAACCACCAACCTTGTAGTTAACAGTCCAAGACTTAACAAATAGCACTACCAATGTTCCTATACTTTAATAGAAATAAAAATATAAACCCAGTTTTCATTTACATTCCTTGGGTTTCTTTTATGTTCTACTATATTAATTGTGTAATGAAGCCCTGGTGGCATAATGGTCGCGATTTGTGTTGCAATGCAAAAAATCAGCAGTTCAATCCAAAAGGCCAGCAGTTCAAAACCACTAGCCCCCTCTGCAGGAGGCAGAGCTTCCTACTTCTGTAAAGAGTTAGTCTCAGAAACTGACAGGGGCAGTTCTACCCTATCCTATAGGGTTGCTGTGAGTTGAAATTGACTCTGGCAGTGAGTTTTACCACTGCATTATAGCTAAAACACCGGAGGTTTTGACATGGACTCGATTGCAGTAAGTTTGGCTATTTTACTACTTGTATAATGATTGTTGTGGGTGGCCATCAAGTAAGCCCCTTTTTATGCATGGGAACTCCACATGTGCAAACCCTGACTGCTCCAGGGGTTTTAAGGCTGTGACCTTTTGGAAGTGGATTACCAGGCCTTTCTTTTAGGATACCTGGGGTGGGTTTGAACTCACAACTTTTTACCTAATACTCAATAAGTTTACCAGTTGTACCACCATACCGTGGGGCTCCTGTGTAAGGGTAGAAATTTAAATTTTAGCCTCAGTTTCACCAACCTAGAGGATCTTACCTTATAAATCATTTTGTGAGAAATTCACTAGGAGAAACCATTCTTTTTTTAAAATTTTTATCAAAAGATCATTTTATGGGGGCTCTTACAGCTCTTATAACAATACATCAATTGTATCGAGTATATTTCTACATATGTTGCCATTGTTTTCTAAACATTTACTTTTTTAAAAAATTATTTTATTGGGGGCTCATACAATTCTTATCACAGTCCATACATACATCCATTTTGTCAAGCACATATGTACATTTGTTGCCCTCATCATTCTCAAAACGAGAAACCATTCTTTTAGACATTTCACATCAGGTACTACATTTATTCCATGAAAGTAATTTTCAGTTCGCTTTGTGTCCCGTTTGTTCCCCGTTCCTGAACAACTCAATAAAAGGGAAAGACTACCACCATTTTGAAATTCGTTGACACCCTATATGCTCTTCTTCCGACAGATTTAGCCCCTCCGGCAGTATGGTTCCCCTGACAGAGATACACAGAGCCAGAAGTGAGTCTCCTGGGAGAATGGATGAGCCTAAGCAGCCCAGCTCCCAGGTATGTCTTGGATTTAGGAGATGTGGTTAAAGGAATTCTGTGTATGAAAAGAGTGTAATGAATAAGAAAGGAAGGATGTAGGAGAGGTAGCGGTGGGCCTGTTAAATGACTACTATGCTTGATAACTTTTTTCTTTGTTCTTGCTTGTGAGCATGCAGGAAATACACTTTTGGTGTCTGCAGAGTTTGGGGAGTAGAAAAGATAACAAGATTGTGGAAGTCTTTCGTGATTATAGGAAACAATCTGTAGTCCTGAGAGTAATACAAAATAACCCCTGAAAACTGCGTTCAGGTAATTTAGGACCGGGGAGGAGAGAGTCTGGTTTTGTGCCACTATACTTGTATATGTGCGTATGTAGTTACTGATTTATCTATCACTGCATCTTTGTGAATAACTTGCTTATGTGTTTTTAATATGTGTTTTCTATTTCGTTTGTTTGTATCTCTTCATTGATTTTCTTCCCGAATCTTTTGCTACACTAAATGGTCTAGAAAGGATAAGAAATGGTGTTTTCTATTTCCCTTCCTTCGCTCCCTGCCACCTAGTATAAGTGCTTGTCTGGGTTTTGATTGTTTGTTTCCCTTGATCTTTTTTTTTTTTTTTTAGTATAAACTTGTTTATTTATTTTTTCCTGAACCTCATTACTGTACATTCACCAAGTGGTATAGTTAGCATTCCGTTGTTATTTTCACAGCATATTTTCTTTTTTTGTTTGTTTTTTTAATCATTTTATTGGGTCCCTCGATCTTTGAAGGTTGATTTAAAGGAAAGATGATGAACTCAACACAGGAGCACACAATAAGCTGTAAAAGCTTTTGTCCTGAAAAGAGAAAACAATTGGTGGATTATTGTTTGGGCTCTTCAGTGCAAAATCAGGAGTTTAAAACCTCCAGCTTCTCTACAGGAGAAAGACAGAGCTTTTCAACTCCTGTAAATGGATATAGTCTCAAAAAAGCACAGAGGCAGTTAGTTCCACCTGCCCTATAGGGTTGCAATGAGTCAATATTGACTTGATGGCAGCGAGCTTGTACATCCTTCAGAGTGCACACTTTATTCGCTTCTACATTACACTGAAAGTATCTTGGTCCATTTTCTTCTAAATTACTGGGTAAAAATTATATATCTGGTATAATGCCACTAAGAGTTTAAGCTTTCTTTCGTATTTGCTGGATTTTGGAGTACTAGAAAAGGAATTGTAATGATTATGAAAGAATTGTTTTTTAAATATGGTGCTAGAGAAAATGTTAGGAGGAGAAATAAACTTAATCATCTAATTGGCCCTTCTCTTGTCCCTCAAAAAAGGTGTGATAGCCATGTGAGGATGACCAGTGTGCAAATACAGTAACCAGGCAGATCTTACAACCGAATGGAGCCATAAGATAGAACACAAAATATGCGAACACACAGGAACTTCAAAAGATTTATGGAAAATTTTAATTTAAAAATACATTTTCATGACCTTTTGAAGCCCCTCATAAAAGACTGCATGTGGTTGTTGTGAGCTGCCCTCCAGTCTGTTCCAGCTTTGAGCAGATATTGTGCCATTCCTGTCGCTGTGTTTAAAGCCATCCACGGGAGCCTCTCGGTCACCTCATCTCCTGGAGGACCTTCCTTTTTTCTCTGACCTTTTTTACCAAGTATGATGGCCTTCTCCAGGAATTACTCCCTCCTGATAGCATGTCCAAAACACACGAGGTGATGTGTGATCACACGCACTTTTCTGGCTGTACTTCTTGCAAGACAGATTTGTTCATTCTGCTGGCAGCCCGTGGTATGCTCCATACTCTTCTACTCCACCATGTTGCAAAGGCTTCACTTCTTCAGCTTTCAAGTGCACATGAGGAGATCGAAAATATCCTGGTTTGGGTCTGTGGACTTTGTTCCTCTGAGACACATCTTTTCTTTTTTAGCATTTTAATGCAGTTGACTTGCCCAGTGTAATTTCTTGCTTGATTATCCAATTCGAAATGGCCAATGCCACTCCATTAAGCTCATGAAAGCCTAGATATCATCTTCATGCCTTTCACTTCACACGTGAGAGAAAGCCCTCAGTTTTCCTAGAGTCGTACGTTATGCATGATGGCTACAGTTGTTTCTTCTCACTTGGAGTCATAGCACGTCAGCAAAAGAAGGTGCCAAAAGCTTTTCTGCATCTACGTCATTAAGGCCAACTCCACTTTGAGGCGGCAGCTCTTTTCCAGTGAAATTTTAAAAGCTTTTCAACCTGCGGGGCTCATCTCCTGGCGCTTTGCAGTGAATGTTCCATTGCTATTCATAAGGTTTTCTCTGGTCAGTTTTTTTTTTTTTAAATAAATTCCCAAGGTATTTTCCTCATCTGTCATAGTTTGGAGGCTCCTCTGGAACCTGTCCAGCATGTGTGACCCTACGTGTATTTGAAATACCAGAGGCACAACCGTCCACATCACAGCAACATGCAAGCCACCACGGTACAAACTTTTGAGATGAGTAGGGAATATTAACTGGTATTATTATTAGCATTTATTGATTACTTAACAGGTGCTCCATTAAGCACGCCTTCAATGTTTATTAGAAATTATGAGGGAAAAGTGTATTCCTTCAATGCTTATGAGAAATTTTAAAAAAATTTTTTGAGGGAAATGTTATTACTGTATTCTTTTACAGGTGAAGAAACTGAGAAATAGAGGAATTAAGTAATTTATTGAGAGTGATACAATAATTAGAACACAGTTGAACTCAAGTCCCAGCACTTTAGTAGCCATTTAAAATATTTCAAATTACTATTACCATGTTGAACTTTAATTAAAATCTCATAAAGCTAACAAAGCAATTTATGGATTGGAAAAATGGAGCTTCAAAGTTACTCTTCTGTCCGTGGTCATCCAAGACTTTTTTTTTAATTGAACATTTTTTATCTTTATCTGACTATATTTACTTTTTTTTTTAAGTGATTTTATTGGGGCTCCTACAACTCTAATCACAATCCATACATCCATCCATTGTGTCAAGCACTTTTGTACAGTTGTTGCCATCATCATTCTCAAAACATTTGCTTTCTACTTGAGCCCTTGGTATCAGCTCCTCATTTTCCCCTCCCTCCTTCATGAACCCTTGAGAATTTATAAATTATTATTTTTTCATTTCTTGCACTGTCCGATGTCTTCCTTTACCCACTTGTTGTTGTCCATCCCCCTGGGAGGGGGCTATAGATAGGTCATTGTCATCAGTTCCCCCTTTTTCCACCTTCCCCTTCCCCTCCTGGTATGGCTACTCTCCATATTGGTCCCGAGGAGTTTATCTGTCCTGTATTCCCTGTGTTTCCAGCTCTTATCTGTACCCGTGTACATGCTCTGGCTTAGCGGATTTGTAAGGTAGAATTAGGGTCATGATAGTGGGGGGAAAGAAGCATTAAAGAACCAGAGGCAAGCTGCATATTTCATCGGTGCTACCCTGCACCCTGATTGGCTCGTCTTCTTTCCATAGCCCTTCTGTAAGGGAATGTCCAATTGCTTACAGATTGGCTTTGGGCCTCCACTCTGCCCTCCTCCCCCTCATTCACATTATGATTTTTTGCTCTGGGTCTTTGATGTCTGATACCGGATCCCATTGACACCTCATGATCACACAGACTGGTGGGCTTCATCCATGTGGGCTTTGTTGTTTCTCAGCTAGATGGCCGCTTGTTTATCTCCAAACCTTTAAGACCCCAGACGCCATATCTTTTGATAGCCAGGCACCATCAGCTTTCTTCACCACATTTGTTTATGCACCCGCCTTGTCTTCAGCGATCCTGTCAGGGAGGTGAGTGTTTAGAGTGCCAGATTATTAGAACAAAGTGTTCTTGTGTTGAGGGAATACTTGAGTAGAGGCCCAACGTCCATCTGCTTCCTTAATAACTAAACCTATAAATATATGCACATAGATCTACTTCCCAATCATCATATATATATTTACATATGTACATATCTGTATTTAGATCTCTATAAATGCCCTTTGCCTCCTAGTTCTTTCCTCTATTTTATTTTACTTTCCTCTTGTCCCACAATCATGTTCAGCCTTCATTTGGGTTTCAGTAATTCCACTTGGTTACATTGCCCTTGACCAAGCCCTACCAGACCTCTGATACCCTCCTCCATCGATATTCAGTCACTTGTTGTTCCCTTGTCCCTGGGTTTGTTAACACCCACTTCCTTCCCCCCCGCCTCCCCCTCTCCCATGTCCGCCTCGGAACTGTCATCCCATTGTTCTCTCTTCCAGCTTGTTTATCCCGCCTATCCCATCCAGATAGACATGCAGAGACAACAATATGCACAAGCACAACAAAGCAACAATAGAAAATAAAACAATAGCTACAACAATAACAGCGACAAAAGGGCAACAACAACAAAAAAGCCTATAAATAGTTTTATTTGGTGTCCTATAAGTGTTTTCCAGTTGAGTCTAATGGGGCACCATGCCCTGGCCCTAGACTATTTCTTAAAAATCATTTTATTGGGGGCTCGTACAACTCTCATCACAATCCATACATCCATCCGTTGTGTCAAGCACATTTGTAGATTTGTTGCCATCATCATTCTCAAAATATTTGCTTTCTACTTGAGCCCTTGATATCAGCTCCTCATTTTCCCCCTCCCTCCACGCTCCCCCCTCCCTCATGAACCTCTGATGATTTATAAACGATTATTGTTTTGTCATATCTTGCACTGTCCAACATCTCCCTTCATCCACTTTTCTGCTATCCATCCCCCAGGGAGGAAGTTATATGTAGATCCTTGTAATTGGTTCCCCCCTTCTACCCCACCTTCCCTCCACCCTCCCAGTATTGCCACTCTGGTCCCAAAGAGATCATCTGTCCTGGATTCCCTGTGTTTCCAATTCCTATCTGTACTAGTGAACATTCTCTGGTCTAACCAGATTTGTAGGGTAGAATTGGGGTCATAATGGGGGGAGGAAGCATTTAAGAACCAGAGGAAAGTTGTATGTTTCATCGTTGCTACCCTGTACCCTGACTGGCTCGTCTC